CCTGGGCTTGCATGCGTCTAACCAAGCGATTGTGGAGCACTGCATCGAACGCTCCTTGGACGTCTAAGGTCACGAATGTCGAGGCCCATCCCTGGGAGCGTGCTTCTTCGACGTCATGGACTACGCAGGAGACCAGATCCGTTGCAGATCGCTTTGGGAGCGCGCCGAATTGTTGGTGGCCCACCACATCGTAAATGATTGCGAGGTGTGCCATTCGCTTGGCCAGGAGTCTTTCTAATCCTTTGCCTAGGCACGAGAGTAGAGCGATTGGTCTCCAACCTTTGATTGAAGTTGGATCCCGATTTGGCTTTTCCAATAGTACCACTTCTGCAAGTTTGAAGCAAGATGGATGCGTGCCGAGCCGTATGCAAGCTTTAAAGAGCTGCGTAACATACGGTCCGATTTTCTTCCAGCAGGCCTCAAGAAGTTCAACTGTGACTCCATCTGCTCCTGGGGCTGCCTTAGTACAGCCAATGGTACAAGTTCGCACCTCGTTGTCCGATATGTCGTCTTCCCAGGGTATCCGGTTATTACTGGGAGCAGTGCACGTAGGAAGATCGTCCGATGCTTGGTGACGTGTAAGAAGAGCATCACGGAGAACTGTGGCTCGCTCATACGGGTCGGTGATAACGGAACCGTTATAGTTGAGCGGCGGAGGAGGTCTGACCTGTCTATGGTTGGCCGAGCGCATCAGCTTGAATATGTCTGCCGGAGATGTCATCTCTTCGACTTGGCGTGTCTGGTGCTCCTTCTTGGCGGCTGTGATAGTCTCACGTAACTTCTTCGCACAGATAGCCCGCTGTGAGAGTGATGTTGAGGCTCGGTATTCGGCGTGTGCGGATTTGCACCTAGGAGTCCACCATGGTGCAGATTTTCCGCTTTCCTTTCTGACCCGGGTTCCAGTTGCTTTAATGGCCTCCGTGAGATGGAAGCATATCTCCTGAGCGTATGCATCCACTTTCTCTATTGTACTCAAATCTGAGGGCGGATGTACCCATTTTGCAATGGCCCGCGCAAACTTTGGCAGATTTCCTGTAACGGCTGGTAAGCCGATTGGTTCCTGTAGCGCATGTTGGCCAACATGAGCCTAGCCTGATATTGGTAGCGCACGATTGATCGACATCAATGTGTGGATATATGATGCCACTCAACAGAATATCAAGGCATCGGCATCTAGTTCGGCAGGGCAGCAGTATTGGACCATACAGCTACAACACATGTGAAGAATCCCATTGGAACCGAGAGGGAGGGACTGTGCCTCAACCACATAGACAATGTATATATAAGTATAGATAGAGACTGAAGTAGTTTTCTCTTCAGAATGATAATTTACACACTATCAACCACATAGTTGCACCAGCGCCTGTCCCCTGATCCGTGACATTTCCCTTGGGTACCTTGATCTTTGCTGGAGCCGTGTCACTTGTAACGGTTGCTGCAGGTACGATTCCGCGGATTGGAAGATGGTCGCTGGTCATACACTCCTCCCGATCGACCCAAGCGCGGGCTCCAGATATGTTCGTCCAGGCGAGATCCAGAGTATTGCCAGCTTTATGGGTCGGCTCTCCAATTATAAGGCAAGAGAGATTGTGGTTTTCTGCCCACCTCTCTATCTCATCACCCTGTCCATACGGCCGAGTTACTCCTGGCTGCCAGGCAGCATGCACTGAGTTGAAGTCCCCGGCTGCAATGGACTTCGCAGAGGGTTTCCAGTCGAAAAGCGGGCGAGCAGCAGTCGAGTCTTTAGGGGCCTTATAAACGTTGAGAAAGGTGATTCCATTGACCTTTACCCAGCAGTAATCACCAGTAGGTGTGGAACAAGGAAATAACTGTTCCGCTAATATAACATTTTTGGACTTTCGAGTGTATGTCACAGCCCTCGATCTGACATCTACACCTCCGTGCGGTATATGACAGATATACCCTGGGTGTGATATGGTTTCTTTTGATCTCAAATTCCATCGCGGTTCTTGAATTAGTACTACATCTACGCCTAGCTCATAAGCTCGAGAAAGCGCAATGTTGTGGGTTGTGCCACCCCTGCCTACGTTTATTGACATAAAACTTAGTGTTGAAGGGGGGCGAGAAGGGGCCCGTAGGGCGCCCTTCACAAAGCTTCTTCAGGGTTCAAGGCCCCAAAGCCCGAACCCTCAGCCATTGCTGTGTCTGTCGAAGATGTGTCCTTACCAACAGCTGGAGAAGCTGGTCGGGTCGCTCTTGCGGCAGCTGTAGCAGCCTCTGCGGCCTTAGTTGCAGCTTTGGCCCTGGCGACGGCCTGATATTCCCGTTGGCCAGCTTGTCGGATCGTCACAAGTTGGTCCTTAGTGGCTGGGCCAGACCTGTTGGGACGCGCCAGGCAGTCTCGACTGCCAGATTGGTGGGGCCCTCCGCAGTTTCGGCACTTGGTTGGAGCTTTACACTCGAAGGCTGAATGCATGGTGGATCCACAGTTCCAGCAGGCGGGTGCACGAGAGCATCCGCGGGTGGCGTGGAAACCGAGACATCGCCTACACTGCTGTATGGGAGGGCGGTTTCGTTGGATTGTAGCGACTCCTGAGTCGTCGAAGAGCCTGAAACCCGGCTTTGGGCTAGCTTCTTTTGGGAAGAGAGCCTCCCAGGATCTGTAGGGGGCCCCGAGCTTGGTTATACCGTGAATTCTTACTCGGTCTGGAGTGTAGTTAGTTACCCTGAAGATCTCTGCGGCAACCATTTCGGGAGTGACTTCGATTCTTCCTTCTAGGCCGAACACGGCGACTGGAACCGTAGCAATCCGAAGGGAAACTAGATCACTTGGTGGTTCTAGTTTTGCCTCCACTTGTGCGAAGGTGCTGGAGGCCTCCAGCAGTCGAGTTTTTGCATCCGGGTTTTTGGCACGGATGGCAAAGCCAGTGGGAACGCGTTGCACCTGGTCGACATCGGACGGGGTGCATTGCGTATGTTTAGCCACGGCTTCGCGAACGCTAGCCGGAGAGAGCTGTCTCCACTCGTGGTTTGCATCGAGACGCAGGAAGAGTCGGTCATCTTTCGATGCTGTTGTTGCTGCTGGTTTCTTCTCCGGTTTCCTCGTAGATGGAATAGCCGAAACCGAGGTGATGTTTTCAGGAGCCTGTGCTCCTGACTTTTGGTGTCCTGCTCTGGTGACAGTGGCCCAGGTGCTTCTGGGCTGAAGAGGTGCAGTAGCCTTTGTAATATTACGGGGAACGGCTACTGGGATGACGGTCGCAGGGGGAGTCGCGACATTTGGTCGTTGGGGTAGGACTGGCGGAGCAGTGTTTGGCCCGGCCACCACGAATTGCGCGATTGCTGCCCTTAGGTAGACCTTTATGGAGTCTACAAAATTTTTGTCTTCACCGGTGGAGAGCGGTTGAAGAGCTGCCTCGACACCGCTAATAGCTGTCGAGCATATTGTGAATAGCGCGGCTTTTTTTCTTGCCCTGCGCTCCTCCGCTTCGATCGCTGCAAGCAATTCTGGAGGGTATGTATTTTTTCCGCCTGCTGCTTCTAGTGCTGGAGGCTGCGGGGCCAGTGGAGGGTTTTCGGCTCCTGCTGCCTTAGTGGATGGTATTTCAGCCATTTTCGCGGGCCTCACTTCTGCAGGACGCGGTAGTGCTGGAACCGTGATGCGCTTCTCGGGTGCGACGACGGTTTTTCTGGGGGATCCGGTGGGATCCAAGACTTGTTCTGCGTCTTCTGGGCTGGAGGATGCCCAAACTGAATCGGCGAGGGTTTTTAACTTCTCGACTTCTGCGTCCACCATCTCTACCTCGGGGACATCGTTCTCCTTCGCTTGGAGCGCAGCCGCAATAGTGTTCATGTTTTGAAGATTTGACTCGAGTCCTCGCCTTGATAGCATGTTCTTTGCGTGGTTTTGAATGGCGGTATGCCATTGATAAGGTTTGTTGGCGCGATCTTTGGTGATGCCGCTGATCGCGTTTTGGTGCGTTTTACGCGTCGGAGGCATTTTAAAATGCCGCCGATGACAAACAATTGCGATTCGATTCCTTCGTCAGAGGGTGAGATGGATAACAGGGTGGGAATGGGCAAATTGGGGGCTTCTTGAATTGTTTTGATGAAGGGTTTGGTTGTTGAGTTTTCTATTATTTCTGTGTTGGGATACACTTTGTTAATCCTGCTAGGATCGATAATTAGTAGTCCCGACCGACTGGTGTTTGGCGAATGGAGATTGCGTATACCCTGTGCCAGTATTTTTTTTTTTTAAATCATTTAATGTGTATTCAGCTATCTAGCTATGACACATGACCGGTGCTATGTATACATGTTGGATGACTCTTTTGACGTTTGAGACACTCATTCTCTGGATTTCATTCGCAAATACCACTATGAGGTATGTTCGCTTACACAAACAATCGACCTTCCTCCGTAAGTACCCACCAAAGGGAATTTCAAAACCTTTGGTTATCCAAGCATGCCTTCGTCATCCATGTGCACCAGCGCCGCGAGAAACGTGGTTGTGTTTTGCCGGATTCGAACAAGCGATCTACTGTCTCAAGTGGGATATGTGTCCAAGCTATCCAGAGTCTACTTGGCAGACCGGCCAAGACGATGTACCACCGCACCATCCAGCCATGGCGATATTTATAGTGTCACCTGCACTCTCGCAACCGAAGTCTTGGCATTTACAAAGCCCAATTCGAAAAACTCCTTGCCAAGATTCGAAATTTCACGCCCGTCGAGACTGTATCCATCCTTTGCATTATCTCGTGAGCCTTTCCTGATTCCTCTCACGACCATCCCAAAGAACAGTCTCCCAGATTTGTGCGCCACGCTTTGCTTCCTCTGTCGGGTGTGAATATCGGCGTGGGTGTGTATTTGGTGGTCAAGAGAGGCCAGAGAAGGTCGAAGAGAGGTGTGGTCATGAGAATGAGGATGTACTAGGTCGTACTTGTAGATTTGATGAGGCTTAGGTGGGAATCGATTTCGCTGGGAGTGATTGATTGATTAATTTAGATTTAAGTCTCTACTGAGTCCTAGGCTATGAAATGTTTTCCCTTTGGTGGATATTAACGGTTGAGGGAAGGGTGAAAGGCCCTGGCACCAAGGTATCGAGTGATATCAGCGAATGCACCCACCACATGAGTAGTCCCAATGTCAAACTGAGTTATCGTCGTATATAGTCACCGGAGAAGCTAGTCTTGTCCGTGTCATGCTCATTGAGTGCAGGGCTTGTGCCCGTCACGAATAAATTTTAATTTTCATTTTTTCCTAGACTATGAAAGACTACTTAAAGATCTACCTTAATAGCTCTTCAATTAATAGGTTTCTTAGACTTTAGAATAATTGGGGCTATCAAGTAGGCCACGTTGTTGGTACATACGTGACTACAAATTCTGTACTTAGTTTCACTTAGGTAGTTACATGAATCAATGCGCTCTACAACCTCAATGACCGAGGGGTCATTATTTCCTTAATAAGGCTAATTTTTAATTTGAATATTACAATTATTTGCCAGTTGATCCTGAGGGTCATGCTCTAATCGCTGGGAGTGAAAAATTGATGTGATGGAGTACTTTGGATCATTGCCTCGTGGGCCAAGTTATTTGGTATTGCGAAATTTGACTGAAATTGCCTCTGTGAGAATATTTCACTCCCAGATTCGTAGAGGATACCGCGTACAGTTGTTCAGCCTCGCCCTCCAACGTCATAGACTCAATAGCTTAAAAACATCCAAAAATGGCGCTGATAGTAAGCATAATTCTCATTAAATTATACATAAATGCATGATCTCTAATTGGATGATACAGGGCGATATAGGCGAAGCTCACAGCACCGGACCTGAAAATTGTGCTTTATCTTTCTGGATGGCTATTGAGTAAGTATTTTTTAGTTTTGTATCGATCAGAGTAAAACACTCGCGCTATATCTCACAAGTTCACGGCTCGTGCCCAGCATGCTGAGACTGTCAAATCGCATCAATCGTATCCTTTGGCTGTGGCGCAACAAGGTTTACGTCTCTAAAATATAGACTGCTGCGAAACCAATTGCCAGCTCTACTATTTCTATAATATCTAAGCATAACTTGCAGTCTCATGAGCACCTGATAGGGGCACTTTCTGTCTTCCCAGTCTTGTCTCAACCCATCCACCCATTCGCAAGTGCGAGATGTGGAGATTTTGCCATGACTCCAAAGGGATCCTGCCAGAATTTTGCCTCAGGATAGATACCCCTCACTTGAGCCCCAGATACCTGGATAGTTGCGGGCAATCCACTTGCTATTTAGAAGAAACCTATACTACCTATCCCATTCAGTCTTGCCATGGTTCACTTACTCTAAACACCTTCAGTATTAGTCGGCGATTCTTTGTTTTTTGTCGCAGGCAATTACTCTATTTGATTTAGCATCAGCATGGACATCAAACCCTTGCGCATTGGGTATGTGCCCGAGCATTTTTCGACGCCACTGCACTTTGCCCAGAAACACTTTGGACTTGATGCTAAACTTATTCCCTTCCCGTCCGGAACGGGTCATATGGTAACCTCCTTGCGATCAGCCGAGATTGATATTGGAATTGGCTTGACAGAGGGCTGGGTTGCAGGTCTTAGTAAAGAAGATCTTGAAGGTGACGGCGGTTACAGGCTTGTAGGCACATACGTCGAAACACCGTTATGTAGGTTGCCTCATACTTATCATGATATATGTGGGAAAATGACTGCATGGAATCACTGACTGATTCGGTTACTTTTACAGGCTGGGCTATATCGACAGGAACTCAGCGCTCTCTCAGCTCTATAGATGATCTAAAGAATGGCAAATGTGGTGTATCACGAATCGGCAGCGGCTCTTATGTGATGGCCTATGTACTTGCGCTCGAGCAAGGATGGTTCCATGAGGATTCTTTAGGCGAGCCCTTTCACTTTACTCCTCTCCAGACATTCGAGAAGCTCCGAAATTCCGTAAATGACAGCACCGTTGACTACTTCATGTGGGAATACTTTACGAGTAAGAAGTATTACGATAATGGTGAGATAAAGAAAATTGGTGAAATAAACACACCTTGGTCATCATGGAAGATTGTGGCCTCCACTAATCTCATAAACTCGTCCAAAGCTCGTCTAGAAGAAGTTTTTGATAAACTTGACAAAGGCATGCGATATTACGAAAAAAATACTGACGAGGCCGTGCAGTATATATCGACATCACTAGACTACAGCGTAGCTGATGCGAGGAGCTGGATGAAAACTGTCAGGTTCCCTGCCCAGAGTAAGGGAGTAGACTTGAACGTGATAAAAAAGACCACCGATGTCCTGAAAAAATCTGGCGTCATCAATGGCAAGGGAATGAGCGAAGAAGAAATGGTCGCTTTTAAGAGAGGTTAAATAGGGACTCTATCTTTTCCCAAATCTTATTAATTTTCTCCCCTGTATCGACAGCTCCGTCTCGACGAGAATTTTATGAAAGGATGAATCAAGACCCATTGTGCAAAATTTTGTAAGACCTTGGCTCTGTAGAGATTAGCACGCATAGATATTAATCCGATTTTGTTATTTTTTTAAATATCAATGTGCTAGGCAAACAGCACCTTCCGAACTCGTCCAGGATTTTGAACTCAAATGGGGCGAGCCTGGATCTGATTCAGTACCACTGAGTATGTTATTCCCGTGTAAGGGTTTAATGAATTCAGATGTACTTGAAAGACAATAACTCAATAGGAATTAATAACTTGTTCCTTGGGAAGACCATCTACCACGTACTCTCCCATACGTTATATGCTCTGTGTAGAATAGTCTTAACTCCCTCCATTGGCCACTTGAGAACCATCCTTTCTCCCGGCACAACTCTCCTCCTGTATCATACTCCCCATCTGGTGCGTATCCCCTTAGCGCCCCTTTCGTATATCCAGGAGCGTTGCCCTGCCACTAACTTACCTCGGAGACGGTGTGGTCCTAGTGAACAGTCCCAATCCGGGCAAAGCTCATCACATCCCGTCTCACCATGGAGCCTAGTCCGGACTTCACTCATGTTTTGGGCCATTAGAGCTCGCAATGTGCGGAGGAAGGGAGTAATAATCCTGTTTCCCTCTCACAGGGGAAGCGTGGTGCTACAGTTGTCCGTGGACTTAGACAAGTTGTGTTGGAAATATCGTGTAATGAAATGGATGCAACGCTGTTGGATCGGGAGAAGAGGTTGACTAAATGAATGTAATATCTAGACTGCTAATTGTAAGCAGACTTTCTGTCATAGCTAGATAGCTGCATACGCAGTTAAAATCTTATGCAAAAAACTGCCCGATTGGTGTACCACTGCACCATCCAACCCGATTGGCGCAGAACGTACAATGTAAGCGATGCCAAGCCTAATCCACGACGTAAATGATTATGGCGCCATCTGGGAATAGAAACCCCCAATAAACTTCGTGTGTCCACGCCGTACAACCGCTCACGCATCCATTAGCTAGCCTGGATCGCTACCGTGTTAATCATTCCAACCCGTTTACTAGACTCAAGATTGTGTTGGGAACCTAGACAAAATGTGGGGCCCATACGTCCAAAACATTCTGTGTCCATTTCCAACACTCTACATGTAACGAATGACTTACGTCGTATGCTGACCTACAAGAAAAGTCGATAAATCTAGTCGCGGATCTATACAAACAGGCATCCAAGCACCAGTATCCACACATCATAAGATTGTAAGAGTTTAAAAGATATGCCTACCCTGGAAAGATAATAATAGTATGTCACGGCTCGATAATTAATGCACATTAAGTGAATAAAAAAATTCAGTGTATGCAAAATGATGATGATCCTCATTGTCAAGTAGCACTGTATTTGTAGACTTGAAATGGAGTTGAGAATATCTTGTTACGGCACAGTAATAATACATTGGCAGGGCCGAGTTAGTGCTGCTTAAGATTTGCGCCTGTCTGAATGCTGTGGCCAAAGATTGCGGCGGGTGCAAGCTAGAATTGGAGCAAGTGATTGAGATGAATTCTTCTAGCAGCGCACGACCCGCGAATCCAAGCTGATATCTTTGAGTACGGTGGAAAAGCCACGTGCCTTCTCATCCCGACAGACAGCGGTGCGTTGAGTGGCGAGATCATTTGCATACTCTATGTGGAAGACAGGCTTATCAACGTCCACGAATGGTCGAAACATCTGGCACTCGTCGTACTGCACGCATTGCTCCGTCACTTCCCACTCCATGAGCCTCAGCACGAAGGGGACAAGAGCGCCCGCGTTCTTCAGTCCAATAGAAACATTATGAAAATGCGCTTCATTCGCCAGAAATTTGATAAAGTCGATTGCGTCGGCTGCCGTAAGGTCGAAGCCAGTTGCATTATCGTAGCCATCGATATTATCCGGATCCACTCCATCGCAGCCAATCTGAGCCGCAAGAGCTAGACGCGCTTTCATTACACTTCGCACATTGAGCGAGCGAGTGTCAAGCCAGTATTCGTCTGGCCAGCCGTCTAGTGCAAGGCCCTTGTCTCTGTTTTCAAATTTATCCGAGTCAGGGCGAAAGGGCTCGTAGGAGCCGGCAGAAAAATAGCAAATAACCCTACGACGAGCGGCGTGAAGATGGGCGATGGCTTTTGCACTAGTCAAGAATAGGTCTATATCGTAAATAGGCACGTCGTAACCTTGATTGGCTAACGTATGGTTGAGGATAATTTGCCAGTGTGTTCCAACGACAGGGCGCCAGAAGCTGCCGGGAGTGGTGAAGGTGCTTGAATTTGGAGCTGAGTGGTAGCTATGGCTACGCCCCAACCCTACTCCAAGTCCGACTCCTAGAATACTGGCTGTAACGAGACAAATGGTAGCGATAAGTAGCCATTCCTTTCCCGGGCATCCAAAGCTTTGAGGTAATTTCATGTCCCTTAACTCGGTATATCGCTCTTGAAAATGGCGAGGGTTTGGTAGAAAGAAGATTCCACTGGATCAATCGGAGCAGTATGAGCAAAGAGTCTTCGGAGGCGATTACGAGATGAGGTCAGAAGACGGGCGAGGAAGCAGTGCGGTTAGAGAGGATTGCCATAAGATAAAGAATCCGAGCAGTTGGTCTCTCTCTCGTCCTAGTGTCGTTCGACTAATCTATACGACTTGTCTTTCGGATTCGCCATATGGCTAGTGATGAACGTATCAGACCACATGATGCTTCGGGTGTGTATATACTGCCGCGATGGTTCCACGCGTCTATCAAGCGCATTGCCCGACCGCGAGCTGACTGGGAAAGCCGAGTGGCGCGACTTCGAAGCCTACGCTACCTCTCAGCCCCATGTACTCAGCTGTTTCCACTTTGATTAAAAAAAGCCATGTACCTTAGCCAAAGTTCATTTTCTCCATTACACCCTTGAAGCAGCCTCTCAGTGCTTAAACCTACCCTAACACTCAAGTATGCATAATCATTCAGCTAAGATAAGCCTAGCACGATAAGACGGCATCGATATTGGGATACTGGTATGAATTTGTTGGATATAATCCGGATGTAGTGGCGCAGGCTCGTTTTCCCAATTCGGCTAGAGCTGAGCCAATGAAATTTAGATTTGATCTCTAGTTCTAACAATTTGGTACCATGGTGTTTCTATAATCCACTTCATTTTTCTCCCCTTATAACAAATAAATTCATAACTTTCGATAATACGAACTTGGATCAATCTACTAGTCTCTTCATCGTTAGTTCATGACCTTCGCCCCTTCGATAATTTGTCCTCGTTGAAACTGACTCGACTGCCGTAGCTTAACAGCTTCAAAAATCTGCACACGAGTAGATTCCGAACAGATGCCCGAGAAATTACCGGTCTTCTGGCTACGCCTTGGCATCCCCTGGGAGATGCGAGAGAGAGGCAGAGCAAGTTTTATACCCCAATTAGAGCTAGATGATTTGTCATACGAGTGAGCGAAAGTGGTATACATTATCTTCAAATAGTAAAGATGGATCATTAAAAGTCTCGCAAAGATAGCATGATTATCGATTTTTGTATTCCGGCTTCTTATAATTGGCCGATTGTATAGAGAAGACTCACCTTTTAGAATTATAACTAGATAGAAGAGATCTAATTGTTTGGTACAGGAAGAGTGATACATCCTAGAACAATCTTCCTTGCGTCGTTGCTTTCTTCACGGAACATGCTCCTATCTAAACACTTATTTTGTCCAAATACTCCTTGATTACGCGTTCTTTCTTATGATATAGAATATTCCATATTGTTTGGATCTTAAATATATACTACTATCCTTGATATTAATAAACTTACCATATATGGTATGGGTCTATAGGTGATCTACAGTAGGTTATGAGATTGACTATCTGAATGATAACAAGTTAAAAGATAGCTTTCACTAAATCATGGTTTGCTCGAAAAGCCAAATGAATTACTTGCTAAATTATCAACAGATTCATTATCTTATTGGGATAGTTCAATTACCACCTCTAGCAAACTAATCTTGCCGGAAATCTTACTTGGATACATCAAGCCAATCATAAGTTGAGTTTCAATTATTTACTTCTGCAGCTAACTATTAAATTCTGGCCAAATTCCCGTACCCACTATTACAAATTATCTTGCCCCACCTAGAATTCAAACGTGAATAGGCTCAGTGAAGCTGAATGATACGGCTAAGCCTGACATAGTGGTCCAAACTGAAAATAAATTAGTTCCTAGAAATAACGGGAAAAATATTGAGAAACCTACTGGTCAGTGGATCCGAGCCAATCATCTCAGTTGTGGATCCACGGATATCTGTCACATTGCCTGGCACAGTTACTGGAATTTTCGCGCCGCACGTATTACCCGTGGTGGTTACGGTAATATCTGTAATCGTGTTCGCTTTTCTATCGATATTCCAGCTAAGCATGGGCTTACAGGAGTCTCGATTCATTCGAGCTTTAAAGCTCTGAGCAATATCGTCATGCTTCTGTGATATTATGGGCCATGTTACCAGCCTAGTCACTTCCTGGATAATGGTCTCAACCCTAACGTCTCAAATAAGCAATATGACCATTTGAGGTTTCTTATTGTAGATAAACAATGGATTAATAAAAAGGGAAATTTAAGGGATACAAGAATACTTACCATGCCTGAAAGAGTGATAGTTTCTGTGATACACCGTTGACTGATACTAATCCGGCATTTCCGTAATCAAGGTTTGCTTGATGAAACATATAAGGGTCATGATGTAGGCCAAGAAGGTGTCTAACATTAGTATTTTTCTGTCAAGAGTGACTCAGTAAATTGTAAGTTTTTATTTTATCGGTACAATATTTACCTCAGCCTCCAGAAGAGAGTTAAAATCCCCATCACCGGCTGCTGTTTCCTTCCATTCCAATACAGTGCATTCTGGAAGGTTGCAGTTATAGTAAATATTGGTGGCCCATCGTGGCACTATAGTGATACCTTCATAGCCATTGGCTTCCAATGTTGTTTCAAGGGGCCACATTTCGTTTTCCTAAGATAAACAGTCAGACCTTAAGAATATTTGAAAAAATCGGATTCACTTTATTCATCAAGGAAGGCCTTGTATTATCACCTGCATTCCAATTTAGTAACAAGATAGTAAGTAGACAAAGACAAAATTTACCAACAACGTTGACAATACCATTATCAACCCATGCTTTGATAGCATCACCATTGTGTAAGCCAGTGATTGCCGGCGGAATCAATCCCTTTGGACTAAACCTGGACGCAGCTGCTATGCCGACTTGATCAAGCCAAGCTTTGTTCCAGCTGATTTCTCTAGAAACATCAAAATAAGTTGCATTATTTTGATCCTCGTGAGTGAAGGTGTGCGAGACATGTGCAAATGCATTCAAGTTTGCTTCCGAGGAAAACCAAAGGCTAAGAGCATCACTATTGGTACAAGTTTTAGGATATGGAAAAGTATCTGGGGTGCTTGGCCATAGATTAATACCAGCCCCAATAGGCTTCGACCACTCAAGGGGTGTATCTATTTGCATATCATATTCAATAGGACCAGTCCCGCAAATAGCATTGTGACCTGCTGCGGCCTCATTTGAAGTGTTAGTGATCCAAATAGTTATGATCGTTTGAGCCAGGTTTTACCTCGATATTTCCGTTACCATTGTGGCCAAGCTCAATAAACCAGTCACTCCCGGCTGGAAGTCTATCATTAACTGTTTTCATCCAAGACATGTGCTGTGATAGATCAGAGGGAGCAATTTGAAATATGGTTCCGGCAGGATGGTAGATATCTGATTGAAGAAAAACGTCATCAACTACAGCGATAATTACATTAGCACCCCAAAAATATTTAAAATAAAAGGGTCAAGGCTTTCCTTGAGTATTAAAATTTAATCGACGGTACCCAATATCTGGACTCTTTTGTTAGTATTTATTTCGCATCAAGGTGTTATATTAATCATACATAAGCCTCTAGTTGCCCAATGTATGGAAGCATGTTGGAGAAAGTTTGAAGTCGCACTCCAGTCTGTCGAAAACCCAATAAACCACACCATCTATAAAAATTAACACAAAATGATTGGATTGCACGAAGAGAGATGATGAAAATTTCCTGCTATGAAATGTTTCTTGCTCCTCTTCAAACAATTTAGTAGTATACAACATACCTGTTCCCGGCCGGGAAATGTATTAATCACACCAGCTGTTGAACTGATCGAAAGACCATCTATAGCAGTAAACTGTGCAAATTCACTAGCAATGCTATTGTTGGTGATAGTTGCTGGATAATGCCAGAGACCTTGCGTACTTAAACCAGCATCTCTTTAACTAAAATTAGTAATGTTAAAAAAATAATATAATTGATATCGAACTAACGTCTTCAGTCCAGCAGTAGGAAATGTGGATGTGTTTGATATGCTTATAAGTTGTTCTACACCATCATTACAACAGCCACCTGTAGTACTTGTTCCAAATTCTGCAGTCGGAAAATTATCCACACGGACTAGCCGAACGCCAAAATTAACTTGATATTCGAACAAAGTCGACCATTGATTGCTTGAAAGAGCACTCTAAATTTTGGGTAAGGTTAACTTTCGTGTCGATTTCGCGTCAGTAAACTTACCTGAAATCCCTGAACACGATCTCCATAATCATAGCTCACATCAGAGACTACAAAAATTGCACCATAATTACCGGTAGAAGCTGAGCTATTCAGGACTGGTAGTTCAATACCGCTTTTTGGAACAGTGACAACTTCGTATGGAATACCATAACCATTTAGACCAGAGACCACGGAGTAAGCAGATTTGGCATCTCGAGCAAAGACGAGTATAGTGCTCCGGACATTCAAAACGGGAACAGTTAGTGGGTCGACGGTTTGAGCAAAAGTATGACTATTGAAAGTTCCCTTAAGACCAATCTCTCTGCTATTTATAGAATCTCTAGGTTCAATTCGACTAGCTACTATTTTCTGATTGAATCTGGACTGGTCGCTTGTCTCTTCAACTTTTGATGCTACAATTGCGATTGCTGCGAGACTAGTTAAGAATGTTACAAACATAGGCCTGAGAATAATATTAACCAGCATTTTGAGAAATACTAGTTCTTATTAAAGAGCAAAAAATATAACTAAAATTATATAATAAAATATGTTATTTTTGTGAAGAGTCGAAGTAAACCGATCAGAGTTATCGATAGATGAGAACTGTGATGGATCTAAGAGTATATTATATGATATACTTGTGGAGACTCCTCGAGGTATGGAGATGTTAGTAACGAAAACGCGAGACATTAGGAAGTGGAAATATGTGTATTATACACCTCCGCTCCCAATATAATAACGGAGAATATCTATTAAAGCATTTAAAAATTCACTCCTCTACCAATGAGGCGAAAGACTAGCTTCTAATTTGAAAAATACTGAGCTGAGATAGATATAGTCAAAGGCCACAATATAATCTTGATAGTGTCATCCTCGGAACGACGATAGATGCACTTAAAAATGATATGTCTAGCGGTCTAGATGCCACACTCATACATAAAATATTTCTTGCGTTGCATAATATTTTCTCAGCTGAACAATAGCCCGCAGAAAATTATTATGGACTTTTATCTTGAGAGAAAAGCGTGCTGGAAGAGATATTGTGATAGAGATTATTCTTTGCTTATGGAAAGTTATTAAGTTTGAGTAGAAGATTTAGAAATATCAGCCGTTATTTCTCTAGTCCGTAGTGTACACGGGCGATAGATTACATGAAAAGCTTGATTAAAAAAAATTCCAGAGGTTCATGTTGTTAATTTCTTGCATGTTAATAAGCAATTAATCTTCTTCTCGTTACGAGTTGGGCATTTAAAGCATTAACTGGCAGGGTTATTGTATCGAATTTCTGGATCTAACTGCGATTATAATTGGTCGATATACTATTATCAGTCGAATATGATTATCTAGGAGTGTTGTTAATCTATTATGATAATTTGCAAATTTGATTGCAAAATCTCTCAGCCTCAAAGAGTAAATATACTTTGTGAACCTTCTAAGGGTGTTGTAAAATTAATAACTTTCCTGAAATTAAATCAAGTCTCTTCAGGATCCTTTCCATAAATAAAACTCCAAACTCATATTGAAGTCATTGATTTAAAGACTCCTAAATATATATATCAATCCTTCTAAGTCGTTTACCTTTTAATAATAGGAAGCAATTTTAGCTTCAATCATGATGAGTTAACCTTAAATTGTGATAGGTTTTTAGAACGACAAGTGATGCCCGATTCTTTTTGGCCTCTATTTCAGTACTTATCACTAGTCTCTTTTAGTGTTTGATAGACCAGTTGATGGTTGTGAACATATTATTTCTATCCGGCTAAATTAAGCCTCAAAATTATTGATGATCACAGTGATTTATGTGTTAATTCAGTATACCATGAGTTTAACTCAAGACGGAAAGATAGCCTTTTCTGTACCTAGTCTCGGGTCATAAGAGCAACATTCAAGCGTAACTAAAAATTGCTAGTATGAGTGTAATAAGCATTATAGGCGACTCAATATGGCTGCCTGACCTCCCGAGGCTGAGGAACCTGTCAGGGTAAAGTGATTTGGTTTCCAGGTGTTTATCAAACTCAAATTAATCAATTGGGATAATACTTCGTCACTAGGCAAAATACTAGGCAATTTTAGCCTACGGTGTAATCATGTTAGAATTGTAATGAACCTACCCTGTAAAATCCCTATAATCGAGTCGCCCAGAAAAAAGAAAGCATTCATCAGAATCATAACTTGAACATAAAGTAAAAAACGGCAAGTCTCTGAAAATTTTGATTTGGGTCTCCTCGTTATCCACCTCTTCTCGACCACCTTCGACAGTTGTATAGATCTTTAGCGGGCTTCGTCAGTAGATTATCTATGAACATCAAACATCCTTCTCGGTATGTAATAGTTGAACGAAGTTTATTTATTAGTGCGACATAGTTCACATCAGAAATATTAATTACAATAAAAGACAAGTCCTGTCAGAATAATGCAGCCACTCGGTTGGTATTTTTCTTTTTAACATCTTTCTTCGATCAATAGATGTAATTGCGCATAAAAAAAGGCTGTTCCTTCGATTTTGAGTAACAATATTTTTCATGAATGCTTGAGCATTAATCTCGAATTATTTATGTGTTCTTGGCATAAGCGTCTGCCACCTCTTTTTTGTATTTCTCTAAAATCGCTCTCCTATTTAATTTTTGAGCAGATGTTATGAGTCCCTAATGAAGTTAATAAACCAAAGAACCAAATGAAATTTTTACTCACGCTTTGGGGCGTCCACTCTTCATCAGCCAGTACGGCACCCTCAATAATTTCAATCCCGGTCAACCCGCCAGCTTTTCCGGCCTGTTGGAGTTCAGTTAAGACGGTCTGTTGGATTTTTGGATTATCGACCAGCTCTTCCAGTCCGTTTCCCTCCACACCAATTCTTTGAGCAAGTTTCTTGAGTGCTGGTTCAGCTGGAACGATGATGGCAATCGGTTTGGTTCGATTAGGATCAGCGTATACACAGATATTAGCAACAACAGTCGCAGACCGATATATGGATTCCAACTTTTCTAAGGCGATATACTCCCCGTTAAGAGTCTTGACTAGGTTTTTTTTGCGATCAATAATTTTCAAGTGGCCATTGTGATCCCATTCACCAATATCACCAGTCATAAACCATCCGTCTTCAGTAATGACTTTTTTAGTTTCTTCTTCATTTTCGTAATATCCTTCCATGACAGGAACACCACGAATCCAGATTTCACCCTGAGGATTTGGTCTATTAGCAGCTCTGTATCCAGCTTCCTCATAATCAACTAGCTTTATTTCAACGGATCCAGGAATATTTCCTAGGGCTTCATCAGTCCACTCTTGAGGATCCATCAAAGCTCCCATTGCACACGTTTCAGTTAGTCCGTATCCGTTAATCATCGGCGTGATGGCCATAGAAATAAAGCGTTGGGTTTCTTTAGCTACAGGTCCGCCCCCATTCAGACAGATCTTTAATCGCCCACCAGTAGCGTCTCTAATCTTTTGGAACACGACGGTGTCAAGAACCTCAACGCCCGGGATATCGTACTGGAGCATCATATTTTTTGCCCACAATGCACTCCAAAATAGATTCTTCGTTACGAAATTGCTGGAATTGACTTTGGTGATGATACCTTTTTTCACCGATTCCCAAATAGCTGGTACACCGACAAGAATGGTAGGCTGGAACTCTCGTATATCGCCCTTGCAATTTCGAACAGAGGAATCAGCAAGAGTCTTCGGGTTTCCGTATCCCAAAGTACCGCCCCAATATAAAACAGCGTTCTCAAAAACAAACTCAAGAATGTGCGCAAGAGGCAGATATGCTAACAAGCCATCGCCGGGGCCGATATACTGATCTACAATTACACCCACTCCCGCAACTTTGAAAGTTAGTAACTTAGCTAATTCTCTACTAAGAACATCTTACCGGCTGCAACAACGGCTTTGTGTTTAATTGGTACCCCCTTTGGTGGTCCAGTTGATCCAGATGTATACATTATACAGCAGAGATCGTCAGGATTAGGACGAACAGGAGCGACAGGATTGTCTTCACCCAATATCCTGAGCTCCTCAAGACTTATTATAGTTAAGTGTTGATGAGCTTTCCGGAGTGCTTCAATATCTTCCGGGTTGCCTTCCTTTTGACTATTCCAAATGACGTGTTGAATGTCGGTTGCAACTTTTAGTGGATTTATGAGAGTTTTCAGGAGATGCGGGTCAAGAAAGATAGCTTTGGCTCTCGTTGCCTTCAGAGAATGTTCTAAACCTTTCTCCCCTAGGGTATCGTATGCCGTTACGATGGGCATTGACTGAGATGCAGCACCATGTGCTGTAGCTAGCCAGTATGAACTTGTTGCAGCAAATATATGGATGCGGTCTTCATTCTTTAGGCCAAGCTTTCGGAAGCCAGCTCCGATCTGTAAAGCTAGCTTTCTGAACTCATGAAAGCTAATGTATTCATACCCCCCGAGCTCGAAATATGTCCACTGTTTAGTAACCTGTTGCTGTGCACCGTCTACAAGTTTATTAATCTTCTTGCTTTCGTTGTGGGTTTTAATCAATTTCCGGCTACCCAATGCTTTCGCATTTCCGTAATTTTCAGCGCTATGTTGGAGGATATCAAAGATAGTTGTTATGTGCTCTGCTGGGCGCTCCCGAAGCTTGTCGATACAGTTAGGATTTCTTCGCGGAATTGTCTCTCCATCGATAGCTGCATACCCAGGAACCTCGACACTAAATGGAGGGATATGGTCTTTGGAGATTTTGGGCTGGACAGACTTGATAGTCATTGCGAGCTGGATGATAAAATTTCAAAGAGTGAGACCTTCTGGGAAGAGCGTGTGTCGGGCCAAGTTATTGAATAGTCCGTTGTTTGCGGTACTCAGGTGCAATAAAAGGGTTGATATAAGAATGGCGATGGTTGAGGTCTGTGAGTGATATGCCTACCCTATATTTGTTGAACCATGGACCCCTGCTGACGGGGGTTCGGAGGCCCGAGGGTCCGAGAAACCCAGAGCACTACGCTGATAGGACACTCACCGCTAGTGCCCTCGCCCAACGACATTTTATCCTAAAAGCCGTTAAGTGATCGTTGGACTCCGACTCCAACGGCCACATTCAAGTCTTCGCAGGGTCATACAATTAACTATTGGCATTTGAACAGATCAGCTCTACAGATTTTAGGGCATGAGAATGTCAGGAATACCGAAGCTAGTGGCGGCCATGGGGACCGAGATTGAGGACCCCGAAGAAGGTAAACAAAAGTGGTGTCCCATGTCGCCCTTACCAAAGCTGAAGCTCTTGTGCATGCAGAAGTATTTCTTTTGTTTTGTCAAAATCTTCCTTCTCGGGATCTCGGCTTCGTGGATTCGCGAGCAACTTTATTGGAGGTGGCAGTTGGAAATCGGAATTTTTCAATTCATCAATCTCCCAGCGTTCTCAGATCCGATTGTGACGGAGGTACCACAGGAGCGGGTAAACTGGCACCGTGATACTCAATGAGGCTATTCATTGAACTAAATTTTGTAGTGGTCTGGGAAATAACGCCTTTGGTTGCGCAGTGGATGGACTCGAATAACAATCCACTTTTCAAAAATGACGTTCTAGGATCACAATCAGTCATTCTCGAGCTTGGATGTGGCATATCTGGCATCATCGCGCTGACACTAGAGTCTCGCGTCAGACGGTACGTTTTGTCAGATCAAGACTATGTCATGAGAATCCTCACCAAGAACCTCTCTGCAAACCGTAACAATCCTCCGAACGGTCGTGCGAATTTCGGCCGCAGGAAATGTCTCAGAAATCAGCCGTCGGGGATCGAAAGGATTACTGAAGACAGCAGCATGACAACCGTTTCTCTAGATTGGGAAACAGATCAGATTGGCAAAATTCACACTGGGTCGATGAATGGTGATGGATTCGACGCTTTGATAGCATGTGACTGTATTTACAATGATGCTTTGATTAGTCCACTTGTTGATACATGTGTTGACGCTTGTAATTTACGCTTGCTACCAGGAGAAGCTAGGCCAACTGTCTGTGTTGTCGCGCAGCAGCTTCGTTCGGCGGAAGTTTTCGAAGCGTGGCTCAAGTATTTCATGAAAAGTTTCAGGGTTTGGAGGGTTCCTGATGATGAGCTGATTGAGGGTCTAAGAACGAATTCGGGTTTTGTCGTTCACATAGGAATTCTACGTTAAGTTATCGATAAATCCTACGTGATGATTTTATACTCCTTTCGACCATTGCACAGTAGTTTGTGCAGCTCACCAGTCTAACTCGTCTTAGTGCAGTTGCCACAATATTCACTGGAATATGCCTGCGCTAAAATCAAAACGGCTGGCTTGATAGACTGTCATGAATATATCGTCATTAGAACCGTGGACACATTCGTAGCTACGACCAGCGATATGGATGCACTGTTCATGTCATGCAACGTCTACTGTGTCATATACCTGAGCAGCACCGTATTTCAATTTTTATCATGTGTTTGGTCACAAAATTATCGCTCCTGAATTAGGAATGGCCGTTAACGTACCTTCCTGTATGGCCTTACACATCTTCAAGATGTGAATCTATGATAATACTTTGCCGTGAGTTTAGTGATGAGAAGAGGCCGAAAGGTTTCAACACCAGTTCCATCCTAAACGAAATGCGTAAGTTTCTGGGGGTTGTGTTCAAACTTGCTTGCGAGCGAGCGAGCGAGCGAGATGCATTGATTCGTGGATAGTTGTATATTACAGTAGACTGATTTCGAGATAGTTTCCAAATTAGAGAAGTTGGCCGTGGAGAGACACGCAGCGATACAAACGGAAATTACGGTGAAGAAAATTTTGACTGCTAAACGATTCAGCTAGAAACTTGACAGTTTACTTGGCGGGATTACGCAGGGTTAGGATGAGAAATTTCTACGAATAGATCGAAGGGAGATCAGATTCTTCCAATCAGTTCTATGACATCAATTACGCATAGTGTTTGGTTACAGGCTGGCATCCAACTGCTACGCGCAGAGCAGAAACTTTGAAGGGAGCTTCGGAGGGATACGCTATCTAGGGCTTAGGGACCACCGACTTATGAGTGAGTGGGTGGGTATGTTTGTTTAGTGTGCTACTTAAGTCATAGGCTAGCTAGCACAATAATCAAACACTCACAAAGGAGGAAGAGAAACTCTTAGGTATACGTAGATTTCCCACGCCAGGCTGGCTAGCTTCTTCGAACGCTTTAGATGGGTAGCGGTCTGTCCGGACTTTGGACTCGTATCGGAGGTATGAGAGCCCCGCACCCAATGGTTTTTGAGAGTTTATCCAGCCGCCATACAGCCGAAAATGGTCCGAACTTGTTGTTTGATGGGGTAGGAGAGATAACGGCAGGATAACACCTCTAAGTTTGTCGTTAAATTAAGACCCATGCGCTAACACCGCTGGAAAAAAGGGATGAAAGCCCATCAAAGACTACATTATCGGAGACATATAAACTCCCAGCCTCACGGTAAAACAGGCCAGCCACCACAACATCGCAATGGTACTTTCAAATGAAATCTGAGGCATGAGTGCTCTTCGTTTACGTTGAATCATCTATTCTGTACTTTTCTTTGATATTGTGTCATAGCTAGATAGCTGCATACGCAATTAAAATCTGATGCAAAAAAAAAAGTAAAACAGGTCTATCTGTCCAGAAGTGTTCACAAATTCGATAAGACATTAAATAACAATTTAAAAATAATGTGTCTTTCTGTATCCACTCAAACGCGTTTTACGGATGAGGGGCGGTCGCCAATCTCAGCCTACCAAGGTGGCAATAACAATGAATGCAATCTAAGGTGTAAGTGGTTTGATAATTATCGATGTGAGCGAGTTCCGTGAAATTACATCTTCCCAATTGGGTGCAGGGCTTAAGGCTAGCACATTATATATCTATACAACTCCGATTACTAGTCACGATTGGCAAGGTTAGACCGAAGAAAAGTAGGCTCTCCCAAAAATGAATTTGAACATACTGTCAAGTGATTGCTAAAAAACGCAGAGCATTGAGTATGCATGTTTAATTCAACTCCAAAGTTGAAAACTCGTGATCAACTAATCAAAAAGGAGACTGTTAGCTTAAGCTAATCCTGCCATTCGGTAGGATACCAGTGCTTGGCTTTGAAAATCAATTTCTCTCCAGAAGCTATTTCGAAGAAGGTTTACCCGCTACGAGTACGGAGTTACAATCCAGGTTAGACCCGTGCTATTACTCCTTAAGTCTAACCAATCAGAGTCTAGATACAGATGACGGTAGCTTGACCCGAACCACATACCCGTGCCAAGCTAGTTACGTAAAGAACTTTAGTCCGGTACGTAAAATTATTCAATCTGGTTGCAGCCCTGGCCCTACTAAACGACCAGCGCTCTAAAAATGTCAGACTTCATATCGAAAACAGCACCAAATCGGTGGTTAGCTTTGGGATAGAAGAGAATGGTAGGATTCTATCGATTTCCAACCGTGACAATACGTAATGGTAGCAATGTTTGGCTGGATAGACCAAGTGTCTCAGGGATACTTATTTCAAGTAAAATGTTATGAAAAACCTGATTAGGCGCAGAATGTTGAGACAGGGCAGCAAAAAATTCCCTTTTTTCTTTTGTTTTTCAATCATGTAAATTTATTGGCAAATGAAGCCATCTTCAGTAGTGGTAGTGGGTCTTCCAGGAACATGCACCCGTGTCGAGCCTCCCGGGTGTAAGGCTTTAGCCTGGTACGTTAGATTATTCATTTTAACTCAATCCTACCAAACGTTCGATATCATTCTAAGGCGCCCAAAGCTCAGCGACTTATCTTCAGAATGACCTATCACAGAGCCGTGGGGAAAAAGCGCAGAGCACCTCTCATTGATGTGCTCTAAAAACCTGTGAGTGAAATATTGCTCCAGATTCATGTTCAGTTAGACTTTGAAATACCGAAGAGTTTGGCCTACGAGGCAACTGTTCAAATTACTCCACTATGTCAATCTTTCACTCTCAACGAGTTCGACTCCTACTTAAGCCTCATCAAGCTGAAAGGTACAACTTAGTACATCATCATTTCGATGACTTTACCTCTCTTCGGCTTTCTCTGGCCACAGCTGGCCATCAAATACACGCTCACGCCGATATTTACACCCGACGGAGGAAATAAAGCGCGGCACACAAGCCTGGGAATAAGTTCTTTAGAATAGACGTGAGAGAAATCGGGAAAAGTTTACAAGATGATACAAAAGAAGAGTACAATCTTGACGGATGTGAAATTTTGAATTTGGGCAATGATTTTCACAATTTGAGCAGGGGACGAAACTCAACGCCCCTCAGTGGTGTCCCCCACGAACCTCCAGCTCTCACTGAAGAGTCTGCAAAGCCGAGATTGAGTAACGCCTTTTCAAGATTAAGCTGAATTATCTCCCCCTCCGTCAAAGATACGCTTCCGATAGCACATAAGACGACCAAAACGACGAAAATGATGCTAGGAACGAGGAAAGATAATGCAGTATCAAACGCTTCAATGGTACTCAAAGAAGCCCTTGTTTTATCACAACATGTGCTACCCACCGGCGGGCGAATAAAAAGTCCATGAAAGCAAAATAAAAGACCTTTCCGCTCTCAAGAAAAGCAGGTTTCGACTCGTCAAAAACATATTCCATACTAATCTTAACTTCCAAGCATACTAGCCAGGTGGGCGTCTGAAATACATGAGTTACTTGACGACCCCACGTCCGTAACGAATTTTGGGTGCTGGGCTAGGCTATTCACGACAGTCACTCTCGACCAAGACTTTTCTGATATTCTTTCACGGTCTTCGGTTTGTCCTGTGGCATGAATTAGGGGAGGATTAAGGAGGAGGCTAGAAATTTTGAAAGACACTCTTAGGTATACGCAGGTCTGCTGCACCTGGCAGGTCGGCCTCTCCGTCATAGGAGAGCCCCGCACCCAGTGGTTTTTGAGACTTTTCTCTGCAGCTGCACACCTGTAAATAGTCATCGTTTTGTTGGCTAGAGAGCTGAGATAATGACGGAATAACGGCCCCTCTAAGTGTCTACTCGAGTGAAGACATGTGGGGACATTACTGCTGGAAAGAAGTTGTGAAGGAAGCACAGGAGTGAGTACACTACCTGAGGCATAGACACTCCCGGCCTGTAGGCAGAAAGGACCTACATGTCCTTACATAGTCATAGACTTTATAGGACAAGAAACACATATTTTCAAACCGAGCTTTTTGCGTGCCAAGACTCCGATTGCGAGAGTGAAGCTGGCACTATAAAAACAAGCTGATGATGGAAGGTGACGTGGTCCGCCTCCTGGTGGTGTTCTCTGGTATAGTGTGAGTAGCCTGGGTACCTACTCCACTTGGGAAGGAGACACCTAAGAGCAAATTTCGCGCGGAGAAATGTGAACGGATGATGAAGGCATGTCTAGATAACTCAGAGTTTTTGAGACGTTCCCCTGGGTGGGTATTCACGGATGATGGTTGACTTGGGGTGAAGAAAAAGCCACTACAATATCACAGTGGTACTTGCAAATGAAACCCGTGGCATGAGTGCTCTTCCTTTAAATTGAGCCATCTATTATACACTTGTGATATTGTGTCATAGCTAGATAGCTACATACCCAATTCAAATCTGATGCAAAGAAAAGAATGAATGAAAGGATACTGGTCTCATAGAAGTCAGCAGGGAAGGGCCTCGAGCGCCAGTATACAAGATAGCTACATCACTGTCACAGGTAATAAGAAGGGAAACCACCTATGCCTTGGTTATCGCCGTTACGGGCTAGGTCCGGTTGGTTCTGGCTGGGCTGTTTAAGGCTATAGGGCCCATCCTTAACTTGTAGGCGTAAGCGAGTTTGTAAATCTTCTCACTACATGGGAGTATTATCAGATCACGTGTAAAGGACAAGGAGATCGGGAACAGGCGTTGTAGTTTTTAAGAGCCGTAGCTTCCCGCTCCTAAATTTCTTGTGGAAAACAAAAACATTTAATTGTGGCATTGCTTTCGTGCATCGGCCGAAAGTAAAAAAAACCTTTCCTTGATATTGTGTCATAGCTAGATAGCTGCATACGCAATTAAAATCTGATGCAAAAAAACAATTGGCCGAAAGTGCTTGCCCATCATAGTAGCCTCAACTACTTTGTTGTCTCATATCATAACAAGCATTACTGCTAGTAAAGAGGATGAAGCGTCGCTACAACTAAG